GCTCATGCTCTGTCTCTCAAAAATAAATAAATGTTAAAATTAAAAAAATATATATATCATATTTCCAGTTTGTCATTCGCAATTGAATTTCACACATAGATCCATGGTATGGTTTGCCACCGTAGGACCTGTAATACCAAACTCCTGGGATTTCTCAGAGGGAATGAGATGAATGTTGAGCAACTTAGGCCTCAGATCTCTCATCCGTGAAATGAAAAGTCTGAACTAGGGAATTGCTATTTATTGCCAACTGGATCCAGCAATACATTAAAAGAATTATTCACCACCATCAAATGGGATTGATACCTGGGATGCAGCGCTGGTTCAATATCTGCAAATCAATCAATGTGATATATCACATCAATAAAAGAAAAAACAAGAACCATATGGTCCTCTCAATAGATGCAGAGAACGCATGTGACAAAATGCAGCATACTTTCTTGATAAAAACCCTCAAGAAAGTGGGATAGAAGAATCATACCTCAAGATTATAAAAGCCATATTGAAAGACCCAACACTAATGTCATCCTCAATGGGGAAAAACTGAGAGCTTTCCTCCCAAGGTCAGGAACACGGCAGGGATATCCACTCTCACCACTGTTATTCAACATAATATTGGAAGTCCTACCCTCAGCAATCAGACAACACAAAGAAATAAGAGGCATCCAAATTGGCAAGGAGGAAGTCAAGCTTTCACTCTTTGCAGATGACATGATACTGTATATGGAAAACCCAAAAGAGTCCACCAAAAAACTGCTAGAACTGATTCATGAATTCAGCAAAGTCACAGGATGTAAAATCAACACACAGAAATTGGCTGCATTTCTGTTCACCAATAATGAAGCAGCAGAAAGAGAAATCAAGGAATCGGTCGCATTTACAATTGCACTAAAACCCATAAAATACCTAGAAATAAATCTAACCAAAGAGGTGAAAATTCTACACACTGAAAACTATGGGAAAGCTTATGAAAGAAATTGAAGAAGACACAGAAAAATAGAAAAATATTCCATGCTCATGGATCGGAAGAACAAATATTGTTAAAATGTCGATACTACCCAAAGCCATCTACATATTCAATGCAATCCCTATCAAAGTAACACCAACATTCTTTACAGAACTGGAACAAACAATCCTAAAATTTGTATGGAACAAGAAAAGACCCCGAATAGCCAAAGCAATCCTGAAAAAGAAAACCAAAGCTGGAGGCATCACAGTTCCAGACTTCAGGATGTATTACAAAGCTGTAATTACCAAGACAGTATGGTAGTGACTGGCACAAAAACAAACACTCAGATCAATGGAACAGAATAGAGAACCCAGAAATGGATGCACAAACATATGGCCCACTAATCTTTCACATGCAGGAAAGAATATCCAGTGGAATAAAGACAGTCTCTTCAGCAAGTGGTGCTGGGAAAACTGGACAGTGACATGTAGAAGATTGAACCTAGAACACTTTCTTACATCATACACAAAAGTAAACTCAAAATGGATGAAACACCTAAACATAAGACAGGAAGCCAACAAAATCCTCGAGGAGAAAGCAGGCAAAAACCTCTTTGACCTTGGCTGCAGCAATTTACTCAACACATCTCTGGAGGCGAGGTAAACAAAAGCAAAAATGAACTATTGGGACCTCATCAAGATAAAAGCTTCTGCATGGTGAAAGAAACAATCAGAAAAACTAAAAGACAACCAGCATAATGGAAGAAGATATTTGCAAATGACATATCAGATAAAGGGTTAGTATCCAAAATCAATAAAGAACTTCTCAAACTCAACACCCAAAAAATGAATAATCCAGTGAAGAAATGGGCAAAAGACATGAATAGACACTTCTCCAAAGAAGACATCCAGATGTCTAACAGACACATGAAAAAATTCTCAACATCACTCATCATCAGGGAAATATAAATCAAAACCACAGTGAGATACCACCTCATACCAGTCAGAATGGCTAAAATTAACAACTCAGGCAACAACACATGTTGGCTAGGAGGCGGAGAAAGAGGAACTCTTTTGCCTTGCTGGTGGGAATGCAAAGTGCAGCCACTATGGAAAAAAAGTAAGGAGTTTCTTCAAAAAATTAAAAATAGAACTATCCTAGGGGTGCCTGGGTGGCTCAGTCAGTTGAACGTCCGACATTGGCTCAGGTCATGATCTCGTGGCTTGCAAGTTCAAGCCCCGTGTCGGGCTCTGTGCTGACATCTTGGAGCCTGGAGCCTCTTTCGGATTCTGTGTCTCCCTCTCACTCTGCCCCTAAACCACTCTCACTCTGTCTCTGTCTCTCTCAAAAATAAACATTAAAAAAAATAAAAAAAAATAGAACTACCCTATAACCCAGCAATTGCACTACTAGGTATCTATCCAAAGGATACAGGTGTGCTCTTTTGAAGAGGCACATGCACCCCAATGTTTATAGCAGCTCTATCAACAATAGCCAAAGTATGGAAAGAGCTCAGATGTCCATCGATAGATGAATGGATAAAGAAGATGTGGTATATATATACAATGGAGTATTACTTGGCAATCAAAAAGAATGAAATCTTGCCATTTGCAACAACATGGATGGAACTAGAGTGAATAATGCTAAGCAGAATTAGTCAGAGAAAGATAAATATCACATGATTTCCCTCATATGAGAAATTTAGGATACAAAACAGATGGACATAAGGAAAGGGAAGCAAAAATAATATAAAAACAGGGAGGGGGGCAACACATAAGAGAGTCTAAAAATAGAGAACAAACTGAGGGTTGCTGGAGGGGTTGTGGGTGGGAGGCTGTGGTAAATGGGCAAGGCACGTTAAGGAAGACACTTGTTGGGATGAGTACTGGGTGGTATATGTATGGGATGAATCACTGGATTCTATTCCTGAAAGCATTATTACACTATATGCTAACTAACTTGGATGTAAAATTAAAAAAAGAAAATAAAAAAAGAAAATTACTGTTTATTTCCAGATTTGCTATTTTGTGATTTTATATGAACATGTGATTTTACATGTTCAATATAAATGGTTATTTCAACTTCATATTTATATTGATATGTAATTATAATAACTATAAATATAATCACTCCATAAGTTGCTTTTATATATCTTGAGAATCTTGAACAGAGGCTGTAAGTATACACACACATACATATTTATAAATGTATAAAATAACATTCTCTCAGGTCACGAAAATAAAAAATCTCATATATAATTTGTGTTGTACTAAATGAGTTGTTAATAATTCTCCTTTTAAGGAATATTTAATTTTGCATCGTTGAGGCCACTATAAATTACGGCTTTTTTTTTTATGTTAAATAGATATTTGACGGAGTTAATACTACATATTCTAACTTTAAGAGCAACTTTGTGAAGAGACTGTCGGCAGAGGTTCCCGTTGCCAGTAGCCCAATTACCACCAGATGGCGGCAAAGCCAAACCAGGGATCTGGCAGTTGATTCCTTTGAGGAAGAGCGTTCAACCACTTACCTCCCAGAAACTTCTGGATCCGTGCTGAAGATAACTCCTGAAAAAGAGACCTTGATTCTAGGTGAGGTAATAGAAATTCCACAGGCCATTTAAAAAATGTCAATGAAATAGAATTCCTCAAAGAATCTCTGTAGCATAGAACTATCTAGTATCACATTTAGTCAACTGCTTTCCTTTTCTTCCTTCCTTTGAATAAGAAATTTCCAAGGTGGTGGGGAAGGGGCAGGAAATGAAACGAGAACAAAAGAGAGTATGTTGTATTTTAGATGCATTTCTGAGATTTACATTGGTATATGATTCCTTTTGTAAAGATTACATATGTAAGATTTTTCAGTGGTCCTTATTAGCTCCTCTGTTGAATAAGTGATATGAACAAAAATATACTTAGTTTTACAGGATGACTTGGCAAGGTTTTCTATGTAGTTAAAAATCTGGTAAAGGGCTTTCTCAATCTTGAGAACAGATATGAATAATAATGATGCAAATAACTCTGACTTTGCTATTATTTTCTCTTAGAAAGTATTTCACTACTGTCATCTCAAATTACCCTTACAGCATCTTTCTATAACAGAGAGATGGAGAGGCAAAGTGATTTGCTCATGATCATAGAGTGGATGTCAATGTTGGGAAAGCAAGCATCCCATAGTGATTTCCTGGCAGAATGATCATAGTTTGCAATCAGCAACCTGCAGTTGCAATCAGGTCTTTCATCTTGGCATTTCTTACATAGGCCACTGAGGCAGTGCTCACTTATGACCCTGGCATTCTCGACAAGGCCAATCTTTCCTCTTTTACTCCCATCTCCCGTGGTTTTTAGAGAGATGTGGGCCTGTGGTTTCACATTCTATTGTGAAAGACACCATGGGTTGACTTCCAACCGAAGTGATTATCTTGTTTTGAAGAACAAATTAAAAACTAAATGTTTTTCTTGCAGGATCCTACAAAGAACCACTGAAGACCTCCATCAAAGGGAATATTGAAACAAATAACTCAGCTCTCCATTTTTGCAAGGCACCTCATGCACTGGGCAGAGGCTGGAATGAAAATGTTGCCTCAAAAGGCCAGGTGGGTAAAGACAAAAAACTGAAGATCTCATATCCTGACATGCTCAGACAATTGAGTCCCAAATGTGAAGAAAGAGCTGGCTTAGCTGCTCTTACACGTCAGTAAGAAAATGATGGGTTCCTGATAGAAAAAATGAGTGAGTTAAGGACATGAATAAGGGCACTTTGTAAAAGAAATATAATACAAGTTTAGTTAGTCTCAATCAAAAAAGTGAAAATGAGACAGCAAAAAGGTAAAGATTAAGATGACAGGATACTATGTAGAGAAAACCCTAAGGGGTCTACCAAAAAACTAATAGAACTGATAAATTAATTAAATAAAGTTACAGGATATCGAATAGGTATACAGAAATCCAGTGCATTTCTATTCACTAATAATGAAGCAGCAGAAAGAGAAATTAAGAAAACAATCCCATTTACAAATGCACCAAAAACAGCAAAACAGATTCCTAGGAATAAACTTAACCAAAGAGGTAAAAGGCCTGTACTCCAAAAACTATAAAACACTGATGAAAGAAATTGAAGAGGACACAAATAAAAAGATATGCCATGCTCATGGACTGGAAGAAGAAATATTGTTAAAATGCCCATACTTCCTAAAGCAATCTCCAGTTTTAATGCAATTCCTTTCAAAAGATCAACAGCATTTCTCACAGAACCAGAATAAACAATCCTAAAATTTGTATAGAACCACAAAAGACCCTGAATGGCCAGAGAAAACATGAAAAAGAATAAAACTGGAGGTATCACAATCCCAGATATCAAGATATACTATAAAGCTGTAAAAATCAAAACAGTAGGGTACTGGCACAGTACAGATACATACATCAATAAAACAGAATAGAGTCCAGGAATAAACCCACAATTAGATGGTCAATTAGTCTCCAACAGAGGAGGCAAGAATATGCACTGGGAAAAAGAAAGCCCCTTCAACAAATGGTGTTGGGAAAACTGGACAGCTACATGCAAAAGATTGAAACTGGACCACTTTCTTACACCATACACAAAAATACACTCAAAATGAATTAAAGACCTAAATGTGGTTCCTGAAGCCATAAAATTTCTAGAAGAAAACATAGACAGTAATCTCTTTGACATCAGCTGTAGAAACATTTTTTTTAAAGATATGTCTCCTCTGACAAGGGAAACAAAAGCAAAGTTAAGTGATTGGGACTACACCAAAATAAAAAGCTTTTTCACAGTGAAGGAAACCATCAAAAGCCATCAAATGGGAGAAGAAATTTGCAATATCCAATAAAGGATTAGTATCCAAAATATATAAAGAACTTCTATGACTCAACACCAAAAAATCAAATAATCTAATTAAATGAGAAGATATGAACAGATATTTTTCCAAAGAAGTCCTACAGATGGCCAAAAGACACATGAAAGCATGCTCAACACTACTCATCATCAGGAAACACAACTTAAAATGACAGTGAGATATCACTTCACACCTGTCAGAATGGCTAAAATCAAGACAAGAAATAACAAGTCTTGGTGAGGATGTGGAGAAAAAGGGACCCCTGTGCTCTGTTAGTGGGAATGCACACTGGTGCAGCAATGTGGAAAACAGCATGGACATTCTTCAAAAAATTAAAAATGGAATTACCAGGGGTGCCTGGCTGGCTCAGTTGGGTAAGCATCTGGCTCTTGCTTTCGGCTCAGGTCATGGTCTCACAGTTTATGAGTTCGAGCCTCACATTGGGCTCTGTGCTGACGGTGAAGAGTCTGCTTAGGATTCTCTCTCTCCCTCTCTCTCTGCCCCTCCCCTGCTCGTGCCCTCTCTCTCAAAATTAAAAAAAAAATAGAATTACCATATGATCTAGTAATTCCACTACTAGGTATTTACCCAAAGAAAACAAAAACACGAATTCAAAGATATATATGCATCACAATGTGTATGGGAGTATTATTTACAATAGCCAAGATATGAAAGAACTCAAGGATCCATCAATAGATGAATGGATAAAGAAGGTGTGATATATATATATATATATACACACACACACACACACATATCTATATGTATGTACATATAGATATGTATATATACATATGTGTGTGTATATATACATATGTGTTTATATATATACACACAAATGAATAAATAAATAAATAAAATATATACACATATACATACAATGGAATATTACTCAGCCATAAAAAGAATGACATTTTGGGGCTCCTGGGTGGCTCAGTTGGTTAAGCATCTGACTCTTGATCTCAGCTCAGATCACGATCTCACTGTTCATGAGTTTGAGGCCCACGTTGGGCTCTGCACTGACAGCCGGAGCCTGCTTGGGATTCTGTCTCTCTCTCTCTGCTGTTCTCCCACTCTCTTGTGCTCTCTTTCTCAAAATAGAGAAATAAACTTAAAAAAAATGTCATTTTGCCATTTGAAACAACAGAGATGTAGCACAAAAGTATAATGCTAAGTGAAGTAAGTCAGAGAAAGGGAAATACCATATGATTTCAGTCATATGTGGAATTTGAGAAACAAATGAACAAAGGAAAAAGTGACAAACCAAGAAACAGATTCTTTTTTTTTTTTTTTAATTTTTTTTCAACTTTTATTTATTTTTGGGACAGAGAGAGACAGAGCATGAACGGGGGAGGGGCAGAGAGAGAGGGAGACACAGAATCGGAAACAGGCTCCAGGCTCTGAGCCATCAGCCCAGAGCCCGACGCGGGGCTCGAACTCAAGGACCGCGAGATCGTGACCTGGCTGAAGTCGGACACTTAACCGACTGCGCCACCCAGGCGCCCCCCAAGAAACAGATTCTTAACTACAGAGAACAAACTGATGGTTACCAGAGGGAGGTGGGTGGGGGGGATGGTTGTGATAGGTGATGGTGATTAAGAGTGCGTTTATCATGACGAGCACTGTGTAATGTATAGAATTGTTGGATCATTATATTATACATTTGAAACTCTGATATGTATGTTAATTATACTCATATTACAAAAATAAACATTAAAAAAGGTAAAGATTAAAAATATAATAAAATTACATATATTATGGTATGTTTCCCCTCAGCCAAAAGATCTCTTGTACAATCATTTCCAACTATTCTGTGACTTGGTCTGGCATCTGGGGTCACTCAGGATACATTCTATTCTTCCTCTACAAGATGGTCTTTTAAATATTTCCCTTAAGTCCTTTTTACTGTTTTTGTTTGTTTCTTGACTAAGTTAATTTCGTTCTTTTAAGTATCTTATTTATTATGTGTTTTTAAATGTTTATTTGTTTTGAGAGAGCGAGAGAATGTGCGAGCAGGGAAGGGGCAGAGAGAGGAGACAAAGAATCCCAAGCTGGTTCTGTGCCATTAGCTCAGGGCCTGACATGGGGCTCAAAGTCACGCATTGTGAGATCATGACCTGAGCTGAAACCAAGAGTTGGACACTTAAACCGATTGAGCCACTCAGGAGCCCCTTTATTATGGTTTTAAGATCTTTGAGGAATCTGACCCAAATCTTAGGGCACATGAAATATCAATAGCATATTTTTGAGTGTATCAAATCCAACGAAGAGCTTCTGAAGGAATAAAGGTTTAATTTAGAAAGCGTTACACTAGGAACGTCATAAATTCTCAATTTAGGCAGTTTCTCATTTAGTATGTGCTTTCAGTGTTTGGCATATATATCTTGCTAGAGGAACCATATCGTGAATGTAAAATTTAATTATTTGAAATCCTATACAAATTGAAAACAAATATCTTAGAGCAGGTCTTTTGCTGAGTGCTCTACTGTTGGTTAAGGGTTTGGAAGTGCAGAAGGTTAGAGAGTTCTGAGTCATTGGGGAAATGTTGACTTTACGTCCAGGCCAGGTTATTAGCACCATTGCCTTTCCACACCCTACGTCTTGCCAGTTGGAGTTTGTACTGCTTTGAACTTCAGAACTTCCTTTTACTCTCTCCCTTAGGCTCGCATTGTTACAGCAATTGTAATCCAATCAGAACATTGTCCCAACATCACTGGAAAACCTGAGAAAGGGATAATGGAAACTGTTTGACTATTTTATGTAAAGCATTTGTTTAATGACTGATTAGAAATCAAGCAGCATCAGGAGTAGTGCACATACAGTGAGGTCTTTCGCATTGACAGTAAATGTGTGTCTTCATGTGGTCCTCAGAAGTCATGTGGGGGTGTTTCTACAAAAGGGCCTGCATAGCTGGGGAGATGTTCAAAATTATGATATATAGTCAGCTCTAGGCCAAATTGTTCATTAAAGTAATTAATAGATCTTACCTGGGGTAGAGCACCCTTGGGTACATCAAACAGAAGTACACTGTGCCAGGTAATGTCTTGGGCAGCTTTATGCTGACTATAGATACTGGAGAAGCCAGTCGATTTTAGGAACATTATTTGTTATCAGTAGTTCTCAACTGGAGGTGATTTTGCTCCCCAGGGGACATTTGGCAATGTCTGATTTTTGATTATCACAACCTAGTGAGAGGGTATCTAGTAGATGGAGGCTGGGACACTGCTAAATGTCCTATAATGGACAGAACAGCCCCCCACAATAATGAATTATCTACCACCAAATGCCAGTGGTGCTGAAAGTGGGAAACCCTGCTTTATACTGAATTGTTCTAATTAGAATACCTAAAAATCCATGATTCATTGACTGACAATGCCTATTATGTGGCATGATATCTGGGAAGAAAACCAAAATCTCAAAATGATGCCTGTGGGAGAGACTTCTGTGTGAATTATGGTGATGCCACGATTGTTTTATAGGTAAGATTAAATATATTATCATGAAGGAGAAAAAAAGGAATCATCTCTGCTTTAACTGTTTGCTAAAATGTTTCTAGGAAATTTCTGCAAGTACTTTTCTTTATACTTGTAGTAATTTTCTCATCTGTTTTTGACTGAAGTTGGATGTAAGAATGTCAGAAGTGCTTTTTGTATACTGGTCCAAAGAAACAGCAATCCGATTTTTGTGTTCGTGGAAACTGAGGTATGTTATTTAAGATCCCAGTGATTTGGTGTTCCCATTTCTAATAGGTGAAGGTGTTAATGGAAAAAGACCTTTAGGATGATTAGTTCAATCTCAACATACTACAGAGGAGGAAAATTAAGACCCAGAGAAAATCTCAGCAACAGACTGAAAGAGCACCTCCAGGTTGAATGCTGAGAGGCATCTTTTGAAAGAAATCTTTCTTGAAAAAGTAGCCTTAACATACAATCAACTTTATCATCTTGGGGAGGTCTTTCAGTTTCACAACGCACCAGAAATATCATGACATTTCAGTTCTTGCAGGCTTTGATGATCTCACTGGCCTTTTAGTTGGTTTGTGGGCTAAAAAGATTTTTAGGCTAGAAGAGTAAAGAAGATTTTATTTTAGCTGAGTAATACCTGCCCTATGGAGTTGTTGGGGAGATTAGAAATATTACATGTAAAATGCTCAGCACTGTATTCACTACATGCTGGTTAGGTAATAAAAAATAGCAATTGTAGTGTTGGTTTTGATAATGTGGAAACTTTGAACTTGCTGGTGAATTACTGGTTTAACACTATGTCATGCATAACATCTGAGATGTGCATATATGTTTCTAAAGAAGTATTTATTTGTTTTCAGAAATGCCTAAACCAGCTATTTTTGACCCAGAAGGTGGCTCAGTGGGTTAGTGGGAAAATGCAGCTCTGTGAGAAATCCCAATGTGTTTGGAAAGGTATGGGGCAAAGATTTTGTTTGTCCTTCTTTCCTACCCTTCTCTCTCCCTGCCTTCTTCATTCCTTTTTTATATTTATTAGACTAATAAACATAATTATAAAATTCAGATAATTCTCTCTCCCTGCCTTCTTCATTTCTTCCTTATTCTTCTTTATCCATTCATCAGTTGGTGGACATTTGGGTTCTTGCCACGGTTTGGCTCTTGTTGATAATGTTTACAACTATTTTCTAAGTAATATTTGTAAACTGCTCTTTTTTGAGATTTTAGACTTTATCATAACTTTCTAGCAGAGTAGATAACAACTTAGTTCTCCTGCCTCATTCACCTCCTTCAATCTACTTATATCACACTTCTAAAAAGTAAACAACCCCTCACACAGTTGAAAATCTGTATGTAACTTTTGACTCCCCCCAAACTTAATTGCTAATAGCCTATGGTTGACTGGAGGCCTTAATAATTTGGACAGGTGATTAACACATCTTTTGTATGCCATATATATTACATACTATATTCATACAATAAAGTATGCTAGAGAAGAGAATGTTATTAGGAAAGTTATAAGGGAAAGAAAATACATTTATATTACTGTATGGTATTTATAAAAACAATCTGCATATAAGTGGACCATAGCAGTTCAAACCCATGTTGTTCAAAGGCCAATTGTATTCATTTCGGGTATAAAACATAATAATGTGATATTTGTATATATTGTTAAATGATCACCACAGTAATTCCAGTTAACATCCATCACCATGCTTAGTTACAGAATTTTTTTTCTTGTGATAAAAACTCTTAAGGTGTACTCTCTTAGTAATTTTCAAATATGTAATCCAGTATTATTATTATTTAAAAAAATTTTTTTTTAACATTGATTTATTTTTGAGACAGAGAGAGACAGAGCATGAACGGGGGAGGGTCAGAGAGAGGGAGACCCAGAATCCGAAACAGGCTCCAGGCTCTGAGCTGTCAGCACAGAGCCTGACGCGGGGCTCAAACTCACAGACCGAGAGATCACGACCTGAGCTGAAGTCGGCCGCTTAACCGACTGAGCCACCCAGGCGCCCCTGTAATCCAGTATTATTAACTGTAATTGCCATGCTCTACATTACATCCCTATGACTCTTATTTTGTAACTGGAAGTTTGTACCTGTTTTTTAAAAAACCTTTATTGGCGGTGCTTGAGTGTTTCCAGCAACCTTGCAGTTTTACTCACAACTGTAGGTCTTCATGGCTAACACCAAGGCTGGGAGTATTAATCTACTTCTTGGTTTAGCACTGTGAAGCTCTTACGCTTTTATCCAAAGGCATGTGGTCATAGAGACCACAAATTACTTGGGTGGGCTCAACACCTATTCATTTATGTCATTTTTAGTTTGATCACAAGCCAAGTGGTTGTACAGATGAAAAGACAGTGGCCTGTGGTTTATACTTAGTTGGGTCTTTGGATGAGAATTAAAACTGAGCCCAAGATATGACCCTGACCTCAGATATTCATGGGTAAAACTAGCCAGAAATAACTTTGCATGCTCTGGTATAGAACCAGTGAGACAAAGAGCTGAAATAAATGAACCCACAAATGTTTACTGACAGAAACTCAGAGTAGTGTCTATCAGGTAATTGTTGATGTGACAGACAATGGATATGCAGAAATTACTTTGATTTAAATTTTTTTTTAACATTTATTTTTGAGAGACAGAGACAGAGCATGAGCAGGGGAAGAGCAGAGAGAGACACACACATGCGTGCACACACACACACACACACACACGCACAGAGTCCAAAGCAGGTTACAGGCTCTGAGCTGTCAGCACAAAGACCCATGCAGGTCTCGAACCACGAACTGCAAGATCACGACCTGAGCTGAAGTCTGACACTTAACCAACTGGGCCACCCAGGCACCCCCAAACTACTTTGATTTTAAAAACTCAAGTGACAGAATAAATATTCATAGTATGATATAAGGTTTCTGTGTGCTTTCCACAAGGTCTGTTGTCACATTTGGGTCTGGCACTCAGGCTTTTTATTAAAAAAATGCCATGAAATATTTTTAAAATATAATTTATTGTCAAATTGGCTTAGAGATAATACCCAGTGCTCATCCCAAACCATGAAATATTTTTAAAATTTTTGTTTCAATGAATCCTGAAGTCTTCCTTTTTTCCCTTTCCTTCTCCTACAACTTGTAATTCAGTTTTATCAGGAGGACTACTTTCTTTCTCACTCTGTTATCTCTTAATCCCTGCAAGGATAAATATTATGTTCCTGGGATCATAAAGATATGTGGATGTGTTTGTTTCTTGTAGGCTGCAGAGATGGAGTCACAGATGAATCCTTCCATCTTAAAAGATTCAATGGTATAAACTATTCCATACTGCAACCAGAGGTGAAGTTTCATCTTACTGGTCTTCGAAATGACTATTGTAAGTTATTTTTTAGATCGTTAATTAAAAAGTTGAAGTGACACATTGTATCCAATGTGGTGGCATGAACTTGAAATTTGATTCTGGAAGAACCTGATGGCCCTTGTGCCTCATGTCCCAAAGCTGTACCATCCAAATACTGTTAATATAGTTTGCCTTTTCCTTGTACAAATTTCACGTTTGGAATGGGTACTGTTGGTGTTGGGAGGGCATGAGCAATATACATATTTTTTACTGTATTAGAATGAACTGAGAAAATAGTGGCCTATTCTTATGCATATATTTTAAACAGATATATCCAATCAGTCAACAGCCACATGGGGTCTTCTCGTCATGTGCCTACGTTATAATCTAGTTGGGGAGACAGGACTAACTCACATGGAACTTCTAGCAACATGCCAGTGTAGAATATAAATAATGAATTGTGGGATGAAAGGAGCTAGTTCAGTGATCTTTGGATCTTTGTCTAGAAAGACTTTGTGGAGATAATCACACTTGAGCTGGGTCTTGAAAAATGGGTAGGACTTGGAGGGGTGGAGGAGAGAAGATAGAACATTTTTCAGCAACGTTGTTAGTTGGTAGTTAATGATAATGGCAATGAAGAGGATACACTGGGGACTGGTGAACAGGTAGGTAGATGCAAATTTTGTAATCACATAGGTCCCCTCCACCCTCCTCCCCCACTTTTTTTTAGGTTACTGTAGTTGTTCTGCATTTTATGTCTACGAACATTGAAAACTCTACTATTGCTATAAATTTTACTCTAAAAGTCCATATATATTTGTATTTTATTTATTTATTTTTTTTTTAATTTTTTTTTTTCAACGTTTATTTATTTTTGGGACAGAGAGAGACATAGCATGAACGGGGGAGGGGCAGAGAGAGAGGGAGACACAGAATCGGAAACAGGCTCCAGGCTCCGAGCTATCAGCCCAGAGCCCGACGCGGGGCTCGAACTCACGGACCGCGAGATCGTGACCTGGCTGAAGTCGGACGCTTAACCGACTGCGCCACCCAGGCGCCCCCATATATATTTGTATTTTAAATAAAAGAGGGGACAATGGTCTTTATATTTACCCCAGTATTTACCAATTCTACTCTTCTCTTTCATTCCTGAAGATCTAAATTTCCGTCTCATATGATTTCCCTTCAGCCTGAAAAGCTTCTGTTAGCAATTCTTTCAGATCCGGTTAGTTGGCAAAGGCTTCTCTTATACTCCATTTTATGATATTTTTGCTGCATATAGAATTCTGGGTTGCCAGATTTTTTTCTTTCAGCATTTAAAATATACTGACTTCTGGCCTCCATGGTTTCTGGGGAGAGGTCTAAGGCCATTTAAAACTTTGTTCTCTTGTTTCCAGGACCTGACTCCACTTACACATGTTAGAATCTTTGAATATTATTCCACAGGACCCTGAGGTTTTGTTCATTTCTTTTTTCAATTTCTTTTCCTATATGTTCTTCAGACTGGATAATTTCTGTTGATTTATATTCAAATTCAGTGACTCTTCCCTCTGTCATTTCCATTCTGCTATTGAGCCCATCCAGAAGATTTTTCAGATACTGTATTTTTCAGTTTCAAAATGTCTATTTTATTGTATTTATGGCTTCTATTTTAGTTTTATAGTTTCTATTTTTCTATTCCTCTGCTTCTATTTTCTATGTTTTCATTCATTTCAAGTAGGTTTTTCTTTACCTCATGGAGAATAATCTATTCTATTCTGCTTGTATATTCTATTATAGCTGCTTTAGCATCTTTGTCTGATAATTCCTATAACTGTCATTTTAGGTTTCTCATCTATTGATTATATTTTCCTTTTATATATGCCCAGTAATCTTAAATTGTGTCCTGGACATTGTGGATTATATGTGGTATTAACTCTGGGTCCTGCAGAGAATGTTGTCATTTTTGTCTTAGTTAGGTTTATTGGTCTTGCCTTTTGTGGGTGGCCTTTTAAGTCTCAGATAAGTTTCTTCAGCCTTGATTATGATGGTTTGGGTCTATCCCTTACATATAGGGATCAGAATCCAGGCTGAGACCTAAATGGAGGCTTCAAATCTCAGTTCAGCTCTAAAAGTCTTTGCTAAGCTGATTTGAGTTTTCCCTGTCCTGACACAAATTCTGGGATAGGCTGAGATGTGTGTGGGTTCCTACTTTCACCATTAGAGGGTGCCTTTCTGTGTCTCTCTCCTCTCTAGGACTTTCTCTACACACTTTGTCCACTTCAGGCTTCTTTCCCTGGCTCCTTTCACCAGAGATATAGTGATTTTTCTATTGGAGTTTGGGCTGCTGGTGCTACTCCATGACTGGGGCCCATCCTCTGGCAAAACCATGTGAGAAAAAAAGTGAGAAACTCACCCCTCAGCAGGTTGCTTCTTCAAGTTTTGACTCCCTTACTTAGTTTCACTGCTTTTGCTTACTATCCAGTTCTCAATGGTTTTTTTTTTTTTTTAAATTTTGTTCAGTTGGTTGTTATCATTGGGAGAGGTAGGTTATAGGTGGCTTAGGTCACTATAGTGAAACGGGCGTGCTTCACAGTTTTGTACTGATATGTATCAATCAGGATAAGAGTTTTTGTCTTATAAGAAATAAGATAGGGTCATATGTCAACTACTTCAATTAAAAATAAATAAGGTAGGATACATTAAAATTTTTTAGTGTTTATTTATTTTTTGAGAGAGAGAGAGAGAGAGACAGCATGAGCAGGGAAGGGAGCAGAGAGAGAGGGAGACACAGAATCCGAAGCAGTCTCCAGGCTCTGACCTGTCAGCACAGGGCCTGACATGGGACTTGAACCCACGAACCACGAGATCATGACCTGAGCCGAAATTGGAGGCTTAACTGACTAAACCACACAGGCACCCCTTGGTAGGATACATTTTAGAATGTGGTCATACAAATATGGTTTCTTTTGGCAGTTAAAGAGTTCTTAGAGTATAAGCTGGAGAATGCTGCTAGGAACTTTCAGGTATCATATATAAGTCAGTGACCATTTCTTCTAGATATACGTAGTTGGGTGGTATTTTGGTTAGAAATGATGGTGGCATCTATCATATGGATATTGTAGGTTCAAGGATGTCTCCATAAGAGTTATGTGCCTTCCCCTTATGTTTATTGCAAATTATTTACAATAACCAAATTATGGAAGCAGCCCAAGTGTCCATCTATAGATGAATGGATAAAAAGATGTGATACACACACACACACACACACACACACACACACACACACACATGTGTATATATATATATATATATATACACACATATACATATCTATATACATATGATGAAATATTATTTAGCCATAAAAAAGAATGATATCTTGCCATTTACAACAACATGGATGGATATAGTTTTTTTTTGATGGATATAACTTTAAGTGAAATAAGTCAGTCAGAGAAAGACAAATACCATATGATTTCACTCAGATGTGGAATTTAAGAAACAAAACAGATGAACAAAAGAAAAAAGAGACAAAGCAAAACCAGACTTTTAACTATGGAGAAGAAACTGATCATTACCAGAGGGGAGGTGGGTTGGGGGGTGGGTGAAATAGGTGAAGGTGGTTAAGAGTACACTTACTGGGGCGCCTGTGTGGCTCAATCAGTTAAGCGTCCGACTTTGGTTCAGGTTGTGATCTCATGGCTTTTGAGTTTGAGCTCCGCGTTGTGCTATGTGCTGCTAGCTCAGAGCCTGGAGCCTGCTTCAGATACTGTGTCTCCCTCTCTCTCTGCCCCTCCTCTGCCCATGCTCTGTCTCTCTCTCTCTCTCAAAAAATAAATTAACATTAAAAAAAAAGAGTACGCTTACTGTTATGAGTACTGAGTAATGTGTAGAAATGTTGAATCACTATATTGTACACCTGAAACTAATATAACACTGTATGTTAACTACATTAGAATTAAAACAAAAACAAAAACAGAACGAAGGGCCAGATAATTTCAATGAAAAAAATTTATGGACTTTTAATTTTTAGTGTTTGTTAGAGAAGGTACATGGGTGGTAATAATGGTAGATGAAACTTGGAAGTTCTCTAAATGACTCTAAATAAATATATTTGATGTAAATAGTAAGCATTATTACTTCTTTGTGAATCTTGACACAAAGTTGTAGTTTTTATTTTTGAACTTCTAATGATCTGCTTGCATGGGTGATTCTATTTTCCAACTGACTATGGGAAAGGTATTAAATTTGTTCATCTATCTATAAAAAAGTTGTTTATTTGAAAATTACTTTTATTTGGTTGAATAATTACCCTAATATGAACATCTTTTCTTGTAGATCTCAATATTCTAGATTGGAATTTTCAAAATCTTGTTGCTATAGCCCTTGGATCCTCTGTGTACATCTGGAATGGGGAAAACCACAATAAGATTGAAAATATAGACTTCACTCTCAATTGTAACTATGTATCTTCTGTGTCCTGGATAAAAGAGGGAAACTGCCTGGCAGTTGGCACCAGCGAGGGAGAAGTACAAGTAATGGATGGTTTTTTTCTCCAAATGTGCTCTGTGTAATTGCTAGATGTCTAAAATTGACATTTAATAGTAAGTTAATACACAATAGAGAAATTATATTAGTTGTGTCATTTGAAACTATGGAGAGTGAGTTGCCTAGGTGGCTCAGTTGGCTAAGTGTTGGACTCTTGATTTTGGCTCAAGTCATGATCTCATGGCTCATGAGATCGAGCCCCACGTGGGGCTCTCTGCTGACAGCACGGAGCCTGTTTGGGATTCTCTCTCTCTCTGCCCATCCCTCACACACACATACACACACACACACACAGACACACGGACACACAGACACACAGACACACACTCTTTCTCTCTCAAAATAAATGCAAAACAAAAAACAAACTACGGAGAGTGAGAGTATACACCATTCTGATTCTTTTCTGAATGTCATTTAATGAGGACTTAAGGATACTCTAGATCATGACCTGAACTGTAATCAACAGTCAGATGCTTAACCACCCAGGCAACTCTATATTTACCTTTTTAAAAGTCTTTTCTCTGTTTTTTTTCAAATTAAAGTTGGGTTTGTAGACACCCCAGTGTTACGACTTTGGAGAGATGAAGATAACCTTCAGCTTTCCTTTTCCACCTCAAGCCATGATCAGGAGTAGAGTTACTTAAAATAAATGAATTTTTTCTCTGATAGCCTCTCTGAAGTGTGAATTTACCAGTTTTAATCTATTTACTTTCTCATGTATTATTATTATTATTATTAGCAATAGTGTAAACAATATTGCTCATGTGTTCAATGACTTTGGAGGGCCACAGATGTCACTCACTACTTTCTCACCTCTGCGGTGTTATTGGATGCTATGAAGGTTATGTCATGATTTCATCTTATAACAAAGTTCTCTTTCTCATATGGGTCAGAATATCATTTATAGTGGCAGAAAAGGAGTTTCTTAGCCTGTCGGTGGATTTCCAGATATGAAATTCCCACAATTTAGAAGAAACTATAAGTATGAAAGCCATTTTCAACATGGTGGCTTCCCACTGAATTCACCTGGGAAAGTTTAAAATAAATACCATATCCACAGACTCTACCTCCCTCATTAAATCAGAATGGCTAGCATCCATAGCATGCTCCCTAGGTGATGGAATATACAGGCAGTGTGGAGAAATGCTGCCCAATGTTAAAGGTGCTCACTGAGCTTTCCTTTAGTACAAGGACTGGCTATATCAACATTAATTGGCTGTCAGGCCTTTGAGAATATAGTGGGCTGTGAAAATTTTAATGCTATATACTCTCCTTGTTAATTTTTTTTATTAATTTTTTTTTTTTTTTTTTTTTTTTTTTTTTTTTTTTTTTTTTTTTTTTTTTTTTTTTTTTTTTTTTTTTTTTTTTTTTAGCTATGGGATGTGGTAACTAAAAAGTGGCTGAGAAATATGCTTGGTCATTTGTCAGTGGTTGGGGCTTTGAGCTGGAATCACTATATTCTTAGCAGGTAAGAAGCATCTTATTGCAACCAATTATATTTATATCATCAAAGGATTATGGGGGCTGAGTGAACAGAACTATAATATTTGAAACCAAAACCAAAACAAACCAAAACAAAATAGGCTATTAGTTAGCAGTTATGACTCTACCCTCTCAGATATTCTGATCTTCTGGTTATGTGAGTGGTCCAGTGGCCACAGGTACCATGGTGGCTATGCGCCTACGCCATATGCTAGTACTGGAAAGTGAGTCTCAGGATTCAGTAAATTTTCAGACAAAATGTAAAACTGTTTAAGCAAAAAGTTTCTCTGCACCAAGTAATACCTACTAGAGGGATATTTTGTTGAAATCAAGTATTTATTCCTATCAGGATCAAGACTTTGGAATATGTTAAGCTTTCTGAGGTACGTTTCCAATTCACAGACCCACAGACGTCAGAACTGGACGGAACCTCATAGAGTAGCCAGTTCTGTGGTTCTCAAACTTGAGCATGCATCAGCACTACCTGAAGGGCTCCTTAAAGCACAGATTGCTGGCCTCGCGGAATTTGATACAGTAGAGCTGAAGGTGCACTGATAATTTGCATTTCTAATTTTCAAAGAGATGCTGATGCTTTATCATTTTTGAGAACTACTGGTTTAGTCTGACTACTTCTTTTTAACCAGAAAAGTTAGGTGACTTGTCCCAGTGATCCTAAATCATTGATCTGAAAACATATTGCTTTTAATAATTGCCATTCATCTTTATACTGTAGCTTTTTTTAAATGTTTATTTATTTTTGAGAGGGGGGTGGTGGTAGGGAGGGGTAGAGAGAGAGGGAGACAGAGGATCCAAAGTGGGCTCTGTGCTGATAGCAGAGAGCCCAATGCTGGGCTCAAACTTAGGAATCGTGAGCCAAAAGTCAGATGCTTAACCGACTGAGCCAGCCAAGTGCCCCTATACGGTAGTTCTTAAGATAGGTTTAAATTAAATAAATTCCAAAGCCTTTTTATAATTTCTTTAAGTGGCTAAGATATAAATTTGAGATTTTAATACCTTGTGATTATAAGCCCAACCTAAAAACACTTAAAATACCATATAAAGGGCTAATCATTTACTGTGAGAGGTTGTAGTGAGGTCAGTTCTATATTTGAATTCCTTTCATGGGCTGCATTATTTAAGCTTAATTTTATTATCCATGAGGAAAATGAACAGATCCTTTTCTTATAATAATAACAATGAACATTTTTGGAGTACTGTGTGCCAGGCATTGTGCTATACTGGTTATGAGTGTAATTGTGTCTTAATCCCTGCAACAACGCTATAAAGTGTTTTCTAATCCACCTCCCCCCCACCCCCAACCTTTTCTTAATGAAGAAACTAAGACACTAGCCTGAGGTCACATGGTTAGTAAAGGGGGCAGAGTCAGGCTTTGAACCCAGGTTGTCTGGCCGCAGAGCCCATATTGTTCATCAGAATGCTATTCAATGTGGTGCCTGAATGGTTTTTAAATATGATACTGGATTGTGAGAAATTTCAGAAATAATTGAAGGTAGTTTTTTACTTGCTCCTTGGGGAAAATTAAACTCATTCAGAAAGAGTTCATTAACTTTGATAGAGGGATAGGATCTTTACCATTATTTGGATCCAAATCACTAAGACTGAGTAGACATTATCCACTGATTTTGAATCACATTGCAGTTTTTCTGTGACATTCAGATAGTTTTATACCCTTTTAAGATATTAGTAGCATTAACAAAACTAATAATGGATTTGTAGCTTAAGAGAAAAAGGACATAATACATTTCTATGTCTGACATTTTACTATAAATACATAAATATATTTACTAAAATATATTTAGTATATATACTAAAACTATTTCATTGGGATAATAGGAAATATTCTGAGTTCCAGGAAAGTACTATTTCCTAGGTTCGGTACAAAGACTCCTTCCTGAAAAAATAGGGTAATCTTTTAAATTTATCTTTTCTATAGCTGCCTGCATCATAGTAAAGCCGTTAGAAATATCTATCAAAGGATATCCTCTTGATACCCAGATTTGAAAGTCTGCCCCACAAATTTTTTTTCACTTGTGAAAACAATAACCCAGGCAGAATCCTCTATCGTGACTAATACAAAGAATGTTCAAAACCTGTGCTGTGAATCTGTCCTGAGGGGCCTCTTGGTAGTGTGTACTATGCTTTCCTTCATGTTTTCAAATGCTTGTTAGCAATAGGGCTCAAGTTTTCTGCCAGAAACCTACCCCTTTACCTCCGTGCAGTGGGTCGAGGTTGGGCCGAGTTTATCATCACGACGTTCGGGTAGCCCGGCATCACGTTGGAACACTTCACCACCAACAAGCTGTGTGTGCTCTGAAGTGGTCGCCTGACAGTAGGCTGCTTTCCAGTGGCTGTAGTGACGGACTGCTGACTATATGGCCCGGTGACCCGAGTGCAAAAGCACAGGTTCAACCACTGAAAGTCATACCCCAACCTACAGCAGTCAAGGTAAGAGCATCAATCACTTTCCAAGTTGCTTTTACGAAGAGATCACTGAGTATCCTTTGCACCTGAGAACAAAGCCATTAAGCCAATGTTTTGAGATTTTCTTCGCCCAGAATTTGTTTTGGATTTTGCCATCACTCTCCTCAAAGACAATCCTATTTATATTTCCCATGCATCAGGTTTTGTGGTTTGTAAGTGACCGAAACCAGAGTTAATCTTGAGCTTCAGCAAAAAAGTAAATATATTTTCTCTTACAACTGAGGAGTCCGGGATACATACAGCTGTTTCAAATATTGTCTGGATCTAGGGCCTTAAATAATGTCGTTAGAGTTCTGTCTCTTTGGCTCTTGGCTCTGCCTGTCTCTGTTTCAATTCATTCTTTATTCAGAGTCCATTCTGTGGGCAAGATGGCTCTTATCAGCTTTAAATTCAGATTCTCCCAGATGGGAACTGGTGAAGAAATTACCGTTCCCTGTAACTCTGGTAGAAAAGTACCAGGCAGGACTCTGATATGAACTTGGACACATTCTCATCTCCCAACAGATAATTGCGGCCAGAGAGATGGGTACACTGACTGGTGAGGCCTGAGTCATGAGCTCACACCCATGAAAGGAAACCTGTTACCAGAAGGAGGAGGAAGGGTGCTTCACACTTAAACCAATATTCACCATGCTCTGTATAATATATATTTTTTATTTCTCTGTATTTTAAATTCTTATTTCTAGTGAAAAAAATCCATACTTTCATTCCTTTGGTGACATAGAGATATGTGTTGGCCTCAGTCTAGTCCCAGGATATTTATCACTTATAGAGCAAAGAAATGGTTCTACTTTACTAACTATGAGCAAATTTATTGGAATGAGAACTTAAAACATTATCATGGAGTTTCCTGATAGAGGGTTTAACATAAAATACCTGCTGCTAAGGAATAGTGGTGGCCCAATACTCTGGCTTGTGGATTTTAATATCCACAGAACATTAAGAATGATTTTAAGTCCAAATGCCCATTATTAATGATTTGAAAAAAAGTAGGAAAAACATATGTAAAATATTCTGTCAGCAAACAAAATGTAAAACAAAACAAAGCAAAATAGAAACCCAGCATGTGAAAAACCCAAGCCAAGCCAAACAAGTTACTTTCTTATACACCTTGTTGTCAGAAATACAATGAATTCAACCAAGAGTTTCTGAAACGTGAGCAAGTCAAGCTTGTGGCAGCCTAATACCAGGATAGATCTATAGATATCTATATACCGATTAGTAGAAATGAAATATTTGTTAGAATGTCCTTTAAAATGGCTATTACTCATCATTTGAATTATCAGTAGAAATATGAAACACTGAATCTTATTTTTCAGAATTAACTATAGTAATTTATAAATAAGTAAATCAAAGGCAATTTTATTTCCTGAAACGTATTAGGAGTTGAAATGCATGAGTGCTTTTGACTTGCAAGCAATCATGTGTGGCTCCATTTTGTCTTTTCTTCTCTGACCTAGAACCTGAAGACACAGGGAGACAAATGAGAGGAGGGCTGCATTTCATAACCAGATTCTAGGGGACATGTCAACTACTCCAGCAGTGGAGTTTTGCCACATAGGACATGTGGAGTGTAGTTTTCGGAACATATTATTGGGTGATTTTTCTTTGTTTAAAAATATTTGCAATTGTTATCAACATTTAAGGAAGGCACCTAATAGGTGGTCTCTAGTCCCTTCGGAGTAACCTCTAGAGATTGCCATTGCTCCTGCCTTTAGATCAGAGGTCCAGGAGAGCTGTGGCGTGTGCAGACCTCTGGCACTTCTGCTTACCTGAGCAGGCACATTCCCAAACTCACTTTCTCCAAGGCTGACCTGCCTGTGTGCTTATTTGAACTTTAAAGGCCATGGATTGGTGTCCCTGGCAGTCTGCAGTCCTTGCTGTTGGAGGTGGAATGAAGGACGGACACTTACATATCTTGGACATAAATACTGGGCAAACCATCCAGACCCCAAACATGAACTCACAGGTAACAGTCTCTGCTGGAGTTGACCTTCACTCTGATATTCTAGAACCTTGTGAAAATGATTCATGAGAGAGCCTAGGACCCAAACACACCTTTCTGTACTTGCTGAGTCTATTGGGATTTCAGTTCTCGAGAGTTTCTCTTTCTAAAACCTTTATCGGTGAGTTGAAAGTTAATCTGTGTATCCTTTTCCCCCCAGATTTTTTCCACATTTCCCTTTTTTCTCGGCACTGCTTTGACTGTGTGCCAGTCTACTTAAATTTGTGGGTTCATTGCAGCTAAACCTATTTGTGTATTTAGTCCTTTGTTGCCTTGGGATAAACTTTCCTAGAACTCATGTCATTCCTCTAACACCCTAACCCCAGCTGCGGACTGGAGGATGCACGTGGACAGAACACACTGCCTAGAATCAGTTTGAAACACATTCATAATGAATCAGACATTGCCATAATTCTGTGTTTTGGGGGCCATTCTTACAGATTTGTTCCCTAATCTGGCTCCCTAAGACAAAGGAGATTGCAAGTGGCCAAGGTACTCCTAAGAATGATGTGACTGTGTGGGCCTGTCCCGGTCTGGCCAGGTCGGCTGGATTTTTTGGTAAGTAAATAGGTGAGTAAAATGCCATGTATCTATAGCTAAGTGAGGTGTCATTGGCAGGAAAAGCCCTAAATGAAAGATTTTTCCCCGCTGGCTCTTTGAAATAGATATTTTGTCAGAGGAGAAAGGCCTACAACCACCTCAGGGTGTGTATAGGTGAGTGCTTCTGAATTTGACTAAGATTTTTCATCACTTAAAATTGTCATGTCTTCTCCTTCTTGCATACCTGTGTGGATGAAGGGACAGTTACTAAACTATGTTTTTGAATTCTGGAGTTAGTATCATAAATCGTCTCACCTTACTTTGCAGAAGAACCAGCAGTGCTGGAATGTGTGGGAGATAAGGAAAGATGAAAAGGGTGAGATGTTGTTCTCTGAGGGGAGACCATTGAAGATCAAGGAGCCCTGGTGCTCCCCTGCCCCTTCAAGACAGAAATTGGTTCTTTTTCAGTTTAGTTCTATAAACATTTATGGGGTGTTTCTTGAGAAGAAGATCCCATGATGGGGAGCAAGACTCAGGTTTCATCCTCAAGGGTCTTTTTTAAAAAATTTTTTTTTTTTCAACGTTTATTTATTTTTGGGACAGAGAGAGACAGAGCATGAACGGAGGAGGATCAGAGAGAGAGGGAGACACAGAATCGGAAACAGGCTCCAGGCTCTGAGCCATCAGCCCAGAGCCCGACGCGGGGCTCGAACTCACGGACCGCGAGATCGCGAGATTGTGACCTGGCTGAAGTCGGACGCTTAACCGACTGCGCCACCCAGGCGCCCCTATCCTCAAGGGTCTTAAATCCTCTCGGGGACAATCTGGAATGTTCAAGGGGGTTCATGGGTGAATAGGTATCCCCTTCTACCCAGCCCTGGTAAATATGAAGATAGAAATGATGGTTGATGATGGAACAAAATATGACATACAATCTCTTGTAGGCTTCTGATAACATATCCTGTCTTCTTCCTCTTCACATGCAATGTGTGTCCTGGTCAGTACCTGGGATTTAATTATTCAATGCCCACTTAATGTGCATCTAGCAAGTGTGAGGCACTTTTTGGGGGTGTTGGGAATATACATGTAAACAAGACAGACATTATCTTTGCCCTTGTGGAGACTACACTTTTGTGGGAAGAAACAGACAAACCCCCAAATATATATCCTGTTAGACAGAGGTAATACTTTGACTCTCTTTGCAGATTCTGATAATGTCATTTGGCAACAACAACAAAAAAAAACACCCTTCACAGAAAGACTTCCTGCTCCTGCTGGTCAGTCTGACTGGACCTCTGACTGACCTTGGGATGACCTTTATATCTTTATACCGTGTGATTTGGTAAATAAAAATGTAGGCAGTTCTTGATAGAGCTACTTGGGGGGCCAGCCATGAGTGTAGGATGGACATGAGTTGATCCTTTGCATATTTTAAATCATAAGACATGCAGTGCATGGGATGTTTTCTGATTAGAGAAACATTTTTAATCAAGCCTTAAGCCTGATTCTTCATAAAACTACAATTCCAGTAGCTAATTAGATCCTTCAGCTAGGTTAGGACATCTGATAGCTACGCGAGTAAATTTGCTGATAATTGGAATAAAGAATGAACTTAACTGGTACATTTTCTTTTTTCTCTAGCTTTAACAAACCATAAATTCTTGGGGCACGTGAGTGGCTGAGTCGGTTGAGCATCTGACTCTTGATTTCGGCTCAGGTCATGATCCCAGGGTCTTGGGATCAAGCCCCACATCTGGGCTTTGTACTGATCATGGAGCCTGCTTGGGATTCTCTCTCTCTCTCTCTCTGTCTCTCTCTCTCTCTCTCTCTCTCTCTTCCTCTGCCCCTCTCTACTGCTCATGCTCTGTCTCTCCCTCTAAATAAATTTTTAAAAAACATTAAAAAAAACAAACTATAAATTCTTTAGCATCTTTAGTAATGCTTTGTGAATTTCTTTCATTGATATTAGACAGAATTCCAAAGAGTGCATTTAACCTTTTCTCCTCTTAACATGTTTATGGTCAGAGAAGATGCAGTTACTTTTGAGGTCTTAGACACTAATTCTCATCTCTGATGCAGTAGTATCTTCCACATGCGATATTTCTCAAAAATGTTTAGCAGGGTGGGTGTTATACAAACACACGTCAGGTGGTTAGCATTAAAAAATGAAATAGAATAGAATAGAATGGAAAAATGTATATGTAGGTATTATTTTGCAAAACTTCTGTTACGCTGTGCAGTACAGATATGTGTCTAATATGGGGTTACTACATAAAATGTAGTTTTGAACTGTGAGTTGTGGTCAGAAAATTTGGAAAAAGACTATTCTAGATTCTGGCCATGCCCTTCATTAGTCTCACTCTGTTAACCACAGTCATGATTTTCTGGGGGGAAAATTCAGTTAAAGAAGCCTCACCCATATAACTTCAGAAGAAAGAAAGCTTACTATTTTCCTTCCCCTCATTCCCCCCCAAAGTTGTAATTTACAAGCTTTGAAGTGGGAGTGGGTAACTTTCTAGCCTATAAGTGAGATGTGGCCTTTGATTTGGTTTCATCAGTCCATAGCACATGCATCGATATGTGGTCTCCTTTATATTGATAGCTGCATAAAGAAAACAAAACTTTCAATCCTTTCAGTGATAATATTCTTAGAATTTAGGGATATAAATCCTAAAGGATGACTTTTGGCTGAGATAAATATGGCATTTCCCACTTAATCTAGTAAATTAAGATTGTCACTTATGAGAGAAGTATTTCGAGAATGCCTTTGCTTCTGATACAAACTCCATTTTCCTAACAAATCCTGGAAGTAGCTGTCCATTTTTTTAAGTTGAAACATTTTTCAAAGCCTGCTTTAGAAAAGATATGGAATTTTTTTCTCTGTTACTCCTCTTCCACTTTCTTTCTTTTTAAAAAATGTTTATTTATTT